GAGTTGTAGGAAGGATCTTCTCGCTTCATCTACACGGAGTTGGATTTCATCATTATCCTGGCCGTTTGATCTTATCGTAGAGCCAAGATACTTGAAAACTTCGGTTGATTCGACAANTGGTGGACCACTGGTAGTTCACCTAGGGGAGTTGGCCAGGAACCCTGAATCCAAACCAACCAAGGGGACGCGTACGAACTACACACACCTTTCCTGCTGTAGTAGTGGTCACTGGCTCGATTGGGCATAGAGGTGTATTGAGCACCTTGGAAGTTTGACCCTGTCCAAAGGGTGTATGATCGGATGAACTAGACACCGGCCCCCAACGGATTGCGGTTATCACACACCGCCCCGCTGCCTTGCGGGTCAGGCTTTGACTAGCCGAAGGCTCTGGTGGTGGATCGCTCAAGAAAATTCATTTATCTTGGCCTGGACAACCTGGTAGTATTCAGCACACAAGTCAATCATGGAATGTTTTTCTTTTTTATAAAGACTGTTGTATCACGATTTGTTGGGCACACAATCTGTCCTCAGACAAGTTTGAAATATAAATAAAAATAATAAATATCTATCTCATTATTCTGTCCACGTTCCATTTGTACTCTGCTTATTAACCAGTTATTTGAGTTTCATTTAGAAATCATTTGGACATCACACGTAAATATCAAAAAGACGGTGACTGAAAGCTTGTCTGATCTCGCATTGCTTCAGTTTTACTGCAACATCACAATCAAACAAGCTTTCGAACGAAAAACTATGAACGCACGTATCCACAGGGGTGGGGAGGGCTCAATCTCACCTGAGTCATCATCAACATGTAATCTTTGATTGTCAGATAGGCACCTTCGGCTGATGTGAGGAACTGGAGCAAAGAACCTTTGGGCATCAGCTCTAGGATAATCATGATTGGCTGGTCGACTGGTTCCGTGCACACACCCATCAACTGAACCAGACGTGTGTGATATAATCTATGCATAACCTTTGCTTCGGCAATGAATGCTTCCCTATCCACGTTGGCCAGGTGATATTTGACAGCTACTTTCAACTGATCATTCCATGTGCCTTCGTAGACTTCGCCGAATACACCCTGACCAAGCAGTTTACCGCGTACAATTTTGTCTCGATCGACTTCAAAATCGCGGAACTGAAGCGGTGGTTGATATTGACGTGGACAAGGCTTTGTCAAACAACAACACATAGATCCTCGTTTGACTGGAAATTTGAAAAACAAAACAAGGAATAAACAAACATTTCTTATCGTTGTTTCAAACTCTAGGATGGTGATTTCATACAGTAATCATACATAAATATATTTATTTGCTATAGAGATTACTGTACCCTAATTTGATTGACATAGTCTGGACGAAGATATGTGTGAAAAACAAGATAAGAATACGTTGTCATGTCAACAAATCTCTCCTTACTGAATAGACTTACAAGTGGCAAGAAATTTTGATTACTTGTGATGTCACCAAGCAATACCAGCTCACAACAGCTTTTTGTCAAATAAAACTACAGACGGGTACTAAATGGCCCGTTTTGTGCTGCTTTGTTGCTGTGCCCCCTATCACATTCATTACTTTCATGTTTGAGTAATAAAAGTACGGATCCCGAAAATTCACAGTAACCACCCTCCCTCCTCGCACTCGCACGCGCCTATTCCATTTGACTGATTGGTCGTATCACGGTAGACGCATCACGGATGAGGTGTCAACCCGCATACAGTAAAGGCTCGGTTGGCATATGCCAACTTGAGACATCTGTGGCGCAGTCGCGACATCCGGCTGTCTGTGATGGGTCGAGTGTATGCCGCGACAGTTCGGCCAGTTCCGCTATACGGCGCAGAAACGTGGCCATTAAGGAAGCAGGACAAAGATAGATTGTCGGTGTTTGAACACCGCGGTCTACGCAGCATTGCACGAATCTGGTGGGTAGCCGGCCGAGCAATCCTAAGGTTAGGCGCAGAGTTTTGGTTAACCGAGATCGCCCATTGGAGCAAATGGTCGACCCCCAAGGATTACGTTGGTTGGGGCATGTGTTACGGATGTCACCAAATAGGGTGCCATGGCGAATGATGTTTGCCGAGGCAGGTAGTGGTTGGAATAAAGCCCAGGGTGGTCAAGCTAAGACCTGGCATGAGGGTATGAAAACCCTAACCAGTAGTTTTGGTCACATAGGTCTCGTTAGGCTCCCTGGATGGGGACCTCGGGATGGCCGTAACCGAGGGTTAGAGACACTGAGTGATACGGCTTTGTCGTAAACAATGGCATTCTTCTGCATTTCTTTGCAACCCTAGGTCACTGAAATTCTCCATTTTCTGTTTGACTATACTTCAACCTTCTTGTCTTTCTCCTATTCCTCATCCAAGTGGGCAGTCAATAGACAGCAATCAAAACCGCCGCACGAAAGTGTATGGTTGCACACACTGAACTAAACTGAACTGATTAATCGCATGTTCAGTGAAACACAGCTCCTCTGACGATCAGCTGTCGTACTCCAGACAAAGGAACGTCTTAACTTCACGATATCTTTCGGACCATTCCTTTGATCAGTTCGTGTATGTGTGCACAAGGGGAACCGGGTTGGGTTCCTGTTTGGTCACCCACTTCCAGTATTAGTTAACTGTATTAACCGGGCTAGCTTGTCGGTTCCTTGAAAATCACCTCGTCTTCCGCGTTGTCTTCAGTGTATAAATGCACAAGCGCGTGTATGGGGATGGAGAGGCAGCGTGTGCGTGTGCGTTTGTGCACATACCCTGGGTCCCAACCAACAAACAATCTATAGTCATAGTCTGCAACTCTGTGGCTATTACTTCTATATGCGGTGGTGAAATTGAGATTGCGCCTTGGGTTCCTTAGGAAGACTAGTTTTGTGTTTCGGAAATACCGATGCATGACATATATATATATATATACATATATATATATATATATGTATATATATATATGACGCTAAAACACTTGAGTTATTTAGGGCAGTAAACGAATAGAATAGTATTTTATTATTCAGTGTATAGTATTTCAATCTTTCCTTATTCCTTGATGACAGAGATCACAAAACAGTAACAACATATTCTCAGTGACTCTCATTGAGTGTCGTATCTGCCAGTGGAACATTCAGCCGCCAACAATGCCAATCACTGGAGCCCCAGTGAAAACATCCGGATATTTAATGGAAGCAAAATCGGAACGCTATTTCGTAATCTTTTCCGTCAGGATGTAGCTTGAAAATCTTGCCAATTCTTCCAATTTATCCAAAGTCTGTAAACAAAGCATAGTAATTTAGCATTTGACCAATCACTTGTAAAACCTGACCCAAACACATCAGATTTAGCAGTTAAATGACCTTACATAACTACGTCACCTGACCTCATCGGTACGCACGCGATGATCCATCCATATGCGGACGATGCAACGCAGACGACGGATGACGGAAACAGATAGATGATCATCACCATATGCTCGTAGAAGTCCGGGTTCGCATCCATAGAACAGTATGTTCTTATGACGTAAGGATTTCGCAGGCACCAAACTAGCACACCAGCAAATGCCAATGTTGGTTGGATTGTGCACTAGGCGATTTCCTCACCCACCGCTCCGACAGCAACCCATGAGGTAGACAAAGCTTTTGATCACTTTCACAGCGTCAGTAATCAAGGCAAGTGCAAGAAGGTGGTTCTGCCAATCATGCCAATCATGGGTCCGGAGTTCAAACCCAGGACGGGAAGGTGGATATGCACTACTAATGAGCTCTAATAAGAGCGAAACTTGAGTCTAGTGCCTGCGTGTGTATGGTTGAATCAATGAAGTGAGGATTGTGAGTGAAAGTGAAGTCCGAAGGATGGTCAGATCAAATCAATCAATATCAATTATCCCACACCACTACTCACAACCAACTGTGAGTTAAATGCGAACATTCAAATCAATCAACATGCTGCAGAAACTTGCAATTTAAAGATATTGAGAATATCACACAAAAATCCTCAACTGTATAGCCAAGATATTTTAACCGAGTAAGACAACATCATTCGCATATAGCAATTCTGAAAATCCCTTCAGAAAAAAAAGATGTAAGATAGCGTTATCTACGTAAAATAGCGGAAAATTTAGAGAGCAAAGTAGCGATAAGGCAACCCAGTTGCACTCTACTAATGACCGGATGATAGCCCATTAGTAGTCCTATTAGTTCGCAAGGTTCAGTCGTAAACTGCTCTTGGGAATATGAACATGTATATTTAAGATATCCTGCATCTCGGCAGCAAACAGTTTCGCAGAGGCAGGCGATCGATACAGTTCACAACCCATCTGATGTGTGAAAGCACATAAATGGCTAGGCACCTAGATGCGTGGGAATGTTCCAACACTGGATGGAGAATGAACATTTTATTTGTGCAACCAAGAGATGTGAACGGAACCGGTATGTTCGTCGTAGATTTGCACATCGTGCATCGGAGTCAACCAGCGTAATAAATCAGAAGCCAACAGTTTTCTTCCAACCAGAATCTGAATTACGCTCCTGCAACTGACAGTGTGATAGCTCTACTAGTAAAAGTTGCAACAAACAACACTGCCTATGTATGAAGCATCAGTTCTGGCCAGTCGAATTTAGAAAAGCGCTCTGGTCAGCTTTTTTGAGGTAATTGTTCCATCAACTTTAAAAATGGTCGGCGGATTCGAACTTCCATTTTTGTGGGCGTTTCCATGGACTGGAACCTGAGGATACTTTCAGGTGGATTAATTGGAGTAACCACTGGGGAACGCTGCGATGTGAGGTGCTCTTCTAGTCAGCGTTCCAAACATCAGTGAAAATTATGTGTTGACTTATTTTCTACGATGCACACCGTTTCCGTTACCGCAGTGTCTTTTGGGTACAGTAGCATGGATGAGTTGGAAAAACCCCGCGGATGTTCTCCGCCATTGCAACTGATTCCGTCTCCTTTGTAAGGTTTCCAATAGTTTTCCCTAAGATCGTTTCGAGTTCGCACCGTAAATAGAGGCTCTGCTCTTTGTACTCGATGTCAAGAGATCAACAAATAATCAGGCTGTGAAAGTTTCCAACCGAGTCGTAACCCCGGAGGCTATTTCTCACATGAACGTGGTGCGATGCCCGCAACAAGCTCACAAGGATGGGTTGTGCTATATTGTATAAATGGAACATTAAAAGCGGTCTAATCAGCATCCCGGTGGCCCACAAGGGTACTATGCTTGCGTTCTATCAGTGAGATCCCGGTGGGGTTAGTGGATTCGCACTGTTGATGAGACTGAGCTAGGTCGAAGCAGCTTTACAGTGCTCCCTAGCTTTCAGATCAAGCTTCATTTGCTCGATACACGGAGAATTCTCTTTGTGAAATCTGAGAGAAGTAGGAAAAACCTAAAATCTTACAGCTTATTGAGTTAGGCCATAATTGTGCTAATCCGATAAGTGTATTGAGTCTTAGATGGTGGCCTATTATTGTAGTTTGTTCTGGCTAGGTTACTATGCGCCTAAATCTATCTGAGATTCGACCGGCACAGCTAGGCTGGAGAGGCTTTTGTGCAGCCACGAATTAGCACAGATGGCTTGGCGCAAACCAATGCATGACTATAGTTCAAGCAAGCAAGTGAGTACGAATAGTAGTGTTTTACACGCACTCATTACCCAGATCCGTTTTCACCGAGCTCAGATATCGGTGAGTAAGGAATCACTTCGAGTGTCTGATATTCGTGCTAAAGCGGAACAAGCTATTTACTGAGCACAGACTAAGAATTCTATCCCTACTATCGGAAAGATAATTATCACGAACGTGATGACTCCACCGGACGACAAACGACTAACGCAAGCGTTTCCGTCCCCGATCTTGATCACCATTTCTGTCTTAGACACTTTAAGAACACATTCATGCTACCTGCCTTCGACTGCATTCAGAGCGTATGCACAATCCACGAATAAGCACTTTTTTCTGGCACACTTTACATAAACTTCGGAATCTTACTGTGCATAGAGTACCATCTGCCCTGAGATTGAAGGCAATACCTGCTTGAACGGATGCTAACGCATCAGAGTACAGAAAAACGAAAATGAAATGCTTCTCTGGGGTTTGGGACAGATGCTAATTAGATTACTGAGGTCAAATCCGGAACGTACGTTTCTGAGAGACAGCACACATAAACCTCTGCCCTTTAAAGTGTGGGAACATGACGTATATGTCATTCTACACAC